TGTCAGTTACAGAAACATGTCGTTAAAAATTACCTGGCGATACCAACTAACATATAAAAGTTATTTTTTTTGCACTTTCAACATGTGTTTGTGTCAAAGGAGGACAAACCAATCAGTGCTGAAGGATTGTCTCTGGTTTCCATGTTCAAAACTATGGGACTTGAGCCTGCAATCACCTCATGGGGGAGAGGAGCGCCACCTGTTGGTCTGTACCTGAAATCTAATTTTTGCCATATGGGTTAATTTTTGTTATATATACATTATATATTTATACACACACACACACACACATATATGTGTATGTACTGTATATGTGTGTATACATGTATGTATATGTGTGTATATATGTGTATATGTGTATATATGTGTCTATGTATATATATATGTGTATGTATGTGTATATATGTGTCTATGTATATATGTGTGTGTGTATATGTATATATATATATATATGTGTATATGTATATATATACTGTATGTTTCAATATACATATTTATCACCAGATATAAAGTGTAAGTTGTGAACACGGCCGTGTGTTGCAGGCAGGGGCGTGTCTGCTGATGTGGAAGGGTGGAAACTCCAGGGTCACCACCTTTGTCCACCCAGTGGCCCAGAGGGTGTGGTCCAACCTGAGGGGCAGCTGGGCAGAGGCAGTGTGTAAGAAGAGATGAAACTGAAGTTTTATGGATACAAAATGTTACGAAAGTTATTTTTACCAAAATGGCTGATCAGAAATGCTGTCATATTAAGCGTACAACGTACAACGCCCTCTGCTGTTGATTTTGACTCCCTACAGTTTTGGTGGCCAGGGTCTCCCCACACAGAAAATGTTGGGCCTTGGACGATCGCAGTTGCCTCATCTTGCAGCGGGAGGACGTCGCGCTGCCCTGCCGCCGTTGCTGACTCGCGCTGAGCTACTGTCTCCTGGAGTCCAGTCTCAGCAAGGACGCTTCCCTCAGTCCAGTCTGAAAGGTACAACGCCGTAAAAAAAATCGAATATCGTAGTGTTCTTCCGATATAGTGATACGTATCGTCTCGACAGTTTCTTGTCAATGCAGAGATTTTCTAAAATAAAAAAAGTTGTCTTCATTTAAAAATGTGTCATCTCGGTGAAGGAGTCGACCCCCCCACCCCAGAGGTGTCGGAACTTCCTGCTGCTGAATCAGCAAAGTCGGAGCTGATAATGGAGGCCGTCCCGTGAGTCGATTGTCTTTTTTTTTTTGTCTTGTAGTTTTTGTCATTTTCAGTTTGAGTCTTCGTTGGGGGGTCTGTCAGTTCTCGATGTATTTGTGGGGTCTTCGTAAACACCAGAAGGTCACGAGGGACACGTGAGACGTTAGAGTCTCCTGGGTGTTGACGTGACGTCAGTGTCCATGTCCACTGTCAGACAGCCCCTGAACAAGTCCGGATCAAAGGGATCTCCGATAACCATCGCTTCAAATCACATCCCTGTGCGCTGTAAGAACGACGCCATCTACCAGTATCACGTCACCTTCGCGTGAGTACGCCTCCGCTGTCGCCGCGTTGATGACATCTGTGATGTAGTTGTTGCGTTTGCTCAGAGGTGACGCGTTTGTCTTTCAGTCCAAATGTC